ATAAGTACCTGAAGGAAGGGAGACAAAGGGGAGATGCCCAAATGCTGACATCATCAGGATTCTGAATAAATGGTCATCTTAAAGTCATCTACTATAACTCTATTTGAAAGTGAGGACCAAGGTATGATGTGGATAAGTCAGACAGTAATCAATACTGTACGTTGCAGAACTTAACGGGGGACTTGCTTTGTTGTTTCCACTTGCCTCGGCGTCTTAATGTTCATTCAGAGAAAAGGTTCTGAGACAACATTCATTAGGGAGGAAAAAGAAATCAACTTCTTTGGTGAAAACAGCAGAAAGAATCAGACGTGTTTCAAGGAAGTAAAACAGGGAAATAATGCACAACACAGCAATTAGGAGTCTCCGTGGCGCAGTGTTTAGTGTGCAGTTCTGCAAGCTACTTCTGCTGCAGCCAGCTGCCTACAACTTGGCCGTTCAAATATGCTGACTCTCTAAACCGCTTAGAGAGGGTAAAGCACTTTAAAGCGGTATATAAGTCTAAGTGCTATTGCTATTGCTATTAGCAAACTGAAACCCACACCCTAATTTCTAAATTATGGATTCCACCGCAACATAACAATACAGTTGGAGAAGGAGGGAGAAACTGAAAAGGATATATTCTCTTTTTTTCCCTATGGGTTTATCCTAAACTTGACGGGTGTTTACTGTAGTAGCCATCCTCCTGCCCCTCAGTCAGATTGGCGTGCAAGTTACCGTGGAAAAGAATTTCAGGGCCCTTGCCACAATGTTATTATGAGGGACCTGCCCAGGATATGTGAGAGGTTTTCATGAGGCTTTTTTTGGCACTCTCGGCCTAGTAAGGCCAATTCCCTAATTGGTTTCTGCCCGAGCGGTTAATTAGGAAGGATTCCCTTCTGTATGTGGGTCTTGCCTATTATCAGTTTGTTATCAAAGAACTACGCAGAAATTGTGAGCTGACACTAAAGCTTGTTCCAGATTTCCTTTTCCTGGGCTGTCTTGATGCAACACAAAATGGTGATAAATGGCCTTCTCAAAGATGATCTTCTAACAAGGCCACGGGGAAGGAGAATAGATCATCGGAGAAGTAGATATGTGAAATGGCTGCTAATTATTGCTTGCTGGACTGCTCAGCACTAATTTAACTGCAGATTCCGCTTATTATTCATTCAGCTAACTAGATAAATTTGTACTGTATTTTGAAGAAAAAAAATGGCTATCTTCATGTCAAATTAGATGACAAAAGTTTTGTTCTTCGTATTAAATGGTATTAAAATTTTAATAGTTCCTACTAAATTTTAATCAGTGTGTATGGACTCGGTTTCACTTTTTGCAATCTGAAGAAATAGATGATGTATTTTGATTCTTAGACTAGTAATCGGTGCTCTTGAGCAGTGTGGCTCTTCATATCCATGCAGCAGTACAGAGAGTGTTAAAGTAGGGGTCTTCAACCCCCGGGATGCAGCCCACTACCAGTCTGTGTTCTGTTTGGAACTGGGTCATCACACAAGTGGCAAGTGGCAGGCTGACGTGTGCACACACACACACACACACACACACACACACACATGCAGCTCAACTTGTGCAAGTTGAGCTGTGCACACATGTGCTTCACCAGCCCATCACTCACATGGCCTGGTTCCCCTCTCCCCTTAGCCAGCCAGCCAAGCTGCAAAGGTTGGGGACTGCTGTGTTAAAGCCTCTTTAGGTAAAGGCCTACCATCTTGAGAGGGGGAATGGTTCAAACTTCCTTGAAAAAGTTCTCCTTGGAGGATAAGGTTTTGGATAATTGCAGCCACGGGCAAGCAAAGAAAGATGGCGGGAGGGAGTGGGCAGGTGGCCGTGTGGCATCTGGCAGGCTGGATTGTGTGTCTTCCCCCCTGTGCCTCTGCCTTGGCCTGCTGCTTGGAGGACGGGCCCAGCAGCTGCAGCACTGGGACTCGCCTACACTGTGTAGGCTGCACAGCCCCAGAGTGCACTGGCCAAGGGGCTGGTGGACTGCAATTGCTGCCCAACACCATCAGCCCCTCTGTACTCGCCACCTCCTGTGCATGTGTACCCAGGGGCTGGTCCCTCGTCATCTCTGGGGCAGCCCCACGGGCCATATATGGGCCCATCTGGCTCATGGGCCTTGTGTTTGACATGTCTTTTGCACATGGACAAGATTAAGACATTACCTGAAAAAAAAAGTCGTAATATGCCTTTTGGAACAAAAATTAATATAAGACCCCGTCTTATATTTTAAGGAAACATGGTCAAGTTTTTAAAGAAGTTTTGAAGAGCATTTGGAACTAGCTTTGCCCCTAATAGTATTTAGTATTTTTCTTTTAGTATTTATTTGATTTGTCAATCGCTTACAAGATACAGGTATAAAATAAACATAGTTTTGAATACATGAGATAGATACTTATAAGAAAAATAAAAAGAAACAATAGGACAGGGATGGTAGGCACGTTGGTGCGTTTATGCACGCCCCCTACAGGCCTCTTAGGAAGTGGGTGAGGTCAATAGTAGACAGTCTAAGGTTAAAGTTTTTGGGGTTTGGGGAAGAAACCACAGAGTCAGGTAGAGTATTCCAGACATTGACTACTCTGTTGCTAAAGTCGTATTTTCTGCCGTCAAGTTTGGTGCGGTTAACCTTGAGTTTGTATCTATTGTGTGCTCTTGTATTGTTATGATTGAAGCTGAAGAATTCATTTGCAGGTAGGACATTGTAATGTATGATTTTATATACTATACTTAGATTGGACCGGAGGTGGCGTAGTTCTAGGTTTTCTAGGTCTAGAGTTTCGAGTCTGGTGGCATAAGGTCTTCTGCAATGAGTAGGGGAGCAGAGAAGTGGTCATTAGTCAAGAACTACATGTTATGGCTGACTAAATATTAGCTAGCTTAAATTGATAGGTAATATACAGAATTCATTTTTTTATACAAATCAAGAACCTGAGTGATAATACTAAGCACTATGTTCTGACACTAATGTGTGTTGAAGAAGGAAAACACATCATCCCTATAAAACCATCTTTATGATTATTTTGATTTCATTTTGGCTGACAAATTGATCCCAAATGACTACTCTTAATTCCATCATCTGGGGCAGCATGACTAAAATTTGCAATGATTTGCATTATGCAAATGGGCAATTTATTTTACAAAAAAGGCACCTCTGTCAGATCCATACAAATGTCTCTTCCCTTGCCCCCTTTCTCTCTCCCACGTTGGGGGATTGTATCCTTTGGGACCAGAGCAGATCTCCTATTTCACCAAGAGCCGCCAAGATTATTGATGGAGGTCATTTATCTTATTTGGAAGATGACAGGCTTACAGAGTCCGGGAAACAAAGACAGTCCCGCTTTCCTTTCTATTCCAGAACAGCGGGCCTTTTTCTTCACCTTTGTTTCTATTGAGTTTACTAATACCGACACACTTTGCCAAGATTTTCAGTTGATTTCACAAATCCTTCTAAATATATTTTTGAACAATTTCTCTAGGGAAAGGGAGTTTCTTAGTCTGTTAGCACAGCATGGCTGGGCTGCCCATTGCTACTATTTCAGCTTGTCCAAAATGAAACTTGTCCCCTAGGCGGTTTGCAATTGGGGCAAAGACGGAAGGAGGATAATATTCAAGAGGGCAGCTAGCCATACTCAACCAACTTAAGACTATACCCATTGCGCAAACCCTGCAGTTCTGCAGTCCTGTGTGGTTTTCCAAGTAAGTCCTCGACTTACAACAATCCTTTTAGGGACTGTTCAAAATCACAACATCGCTGGAAAAAATGACGTTTGACCATATTTCACACTTAGGACTATTGTAGCATCCCCATCGTTACATGATTTACATTTGGTTGCTTGAAAACTGACTCACATTTGTGAGAGTTGCAGTGTCCTGGTGTCATGCAATTCCCCTTTTTTTGATCTTCTGACAAGCGAAGTCAACAGGGAAACCGGATTCACTTTACAGCCATGTTACTAATTTAGCAGCTGCGGTGATTCACTTAACGAATGTGGCAAAAAAAGTCATACTATGGGGCCAAACTGACTTAACCAATTTCTCACAGCAACATAAATTTAGGGCTCAGTTGTGGCCATAAGTTGAGGACTACCTATATTCTGTTCCAGATCCTCCCATGCAACCATGTAAAAAGAACAACATAACAAGCAGAAGTTGTTAGAATTGTGTCTCTAAAATGTCCTCCATAGACCTATGTACAGACAGCAGAGGTGTAAGCACACCAACAATTTCTCACTGGATTCTCAGGAAACATGAGAAATAACATATTGGTCTCATGTTCAATAGGTATTTTCAAAATACAACATGGTTATGATGTAGAGAAAACAAAAAACTGTAAAATTCATAAACATGTACACCTTCTGAACTTCTAACGCTTACATTTCACGAAGATGGCTTAAGCACTCTATTTGTGAAGTAGCTGCTCTTTTGGAAACAAGCATTGAGAAGTAGGCTGTCAAGTACATTTTTCATTAGCTGTGATTAGGCATTGGAGGATATCTTTGGACCATTAGCTGATTGGATGGCTGTCTATCTATGGGATATGCATTAATTATACAACAAAAACATTTCACTTTTGATAGTTCTAAGTAGCTTTACCCATACCAAGCAACTCATAGGGCAACCTTTGCTCTTATTGTAATTTGTAAATAGGATCTGAGACCACAGTCATAAAGCAAGAACTTCACCCAGTTTCCAACAGGAGCAATGGGTGTAAATGTATGTCACATACTACCTGCCATTCTATTTCTTTGAACATCAGCAAAGCAGGTGATTTATTATTGTTATTTAGGCAGTTACCAGCACCTTCGCAGATGACAGGAATTATGTAAAAATGCTGTATATATGCAGCCCAATAAAATAAGATTAAAAGAAGGCAAAAATATACATAATCTTATCATCAATATTATAATCTTATCTTAAACCATCCTATGCTTGTTGGTTCCCCTTTGACTCTGTACCATAAAGGCATTTAATAATGGGATGCAGAGAAATTGTAGAACATAGCATGGGAATTAACTCATTTTACTGAAATGTAAAATACCTCTATCTTATAGAATATCATTAAATTATTACATGTCTGGTGTCCCAATACAGTTAGAAATGTCTCAAATCAGAGAGCAAAGGAAATTGTAAATCTGAAAGAGAGATACATTAATACAAGTACAGCCTGACTAAATGAATGTTAGTTGGACTTAGATTAATGCTTGTTGCCATGATGGCAGATATGCAACTTGCAAACTCGGAGGAAGTGTGCTGTAGTATTCTAAACAACAAAAAAACCAGCAACATTTGGTCTTATCAAGCTAGATATTTATTTCGGGAAGTAATCAATAACCTGATGTCTTTTTAACATAATCCCTCAAACTCGGATAAGTTTTTTTGTCCTATTTAATGTCAGCTCTAACAAACACGCAGTAATGTCTGTGCATCCTTTTCCATGGTTGAAAATTATTCGTCTATAGTATGGGAGGAAAAATCCAAAAGAAGATAGTTGCACATGTCTTTCTCACTCATTTGCTTGTCACTTATCTTGAGGTTGCAGAAGCTCAGTTGACTGATTTATGTTGGATTTCATCAGAAGGGAATAGCAGAGACAATTCTGGTGCAAATATTTTGTTCATCTCAAGTCCAAGCAGAATGCTCAAATGCAGTTACATCATTTAAATAAAAATACAGTTAATGAATGTAAACCTAGGGAAATTAGAAAAAGATCCAAAGCAGAATAGCAGTTTTTAAACTATCTAAACATTTGCTTTGCCCTATCAATACTAAAACATTCCCATATGCAAGAAAATGCCATTGATAATTTTACTTATTCACTTGAAAATAATGCATATTTACTTGGGAGATCACACTCATTAAGTTCCCCAAAATGTATTGCTGAGTGTAAAACTGCAGATTAGACATTTTTCCTTGGGAATAAACCCAATATGGTCATCCCTGAAATTGGGTGGAAATTTTTTCACAAAACCCAGTAAGCTTAATTTACACGTTACTGCTTGTTCATTGTATTCTATATGCTGCATGTTACTCATTCCACATTTTCTTCACTGTATAATATTATCAATTTGAGCTTTCATAAATACATGATACATCCTATTTACAATCTAGATAACTATTTTCCTGTTCTGTCTATTTGTAACCTTCAATTGACCAAAATGTTGCATCACAGAGCAACAAGTTTGGAAGCAACCGTTTCTGAAGCAACTTACTTCAACTTTTCTAATTTGAAATATGTGCGGAAAATCCATTTGCTCCCATGGAATTGAAATTTTAAGGGTCTTCGGTTGTATTCATCACCTTGTGATTGTTGCAGTGCTGCCGTGGTCAGCTGAGATCATGTGATTGTGATTTCTGACACTTCCTGCCAGCTTCCCACAAGCAAAGGCAATCAGGAAACCAGTAGGAAGCCAGAAATATCTTTTGCTTTCATGGCTTGTTTCCCCATCCCTGGTCAGTCGGTTTCTTTTGTTTAGCGAAGGAAATAGCTCTGAAAAGAGGACTCAATAGGCCGTGGGTCATCTAGTTGCCAATAGATGGTAGGGCATGTGGAATCATTAACCAGCCATCCACAGCATAAATGGAATGATGATAGAAGGAAGAGTAGTCGAAGGTCCCAGGCCCAAATAAAGTATAGAAATCAGTCCCAGCAGGGCCGAAACAAGGACACTCCTCTGGTCTCGGATGATGGTCTTCACGGTTTCACAGAACTGCAAAGATAGTAGAAGAATAAAAAAAAATTAAACATGTCCCTTTCCTTGCAGGGGAGGGAATTTTTGATATTTCATGATTTGTTCAGCATGACTTCCATGCAAGCATTTGAATGTGCAGGTTGAAGTCCTGCGTAAACCTGTAGAATTTACACATTGAAACATAAGCTTTTCCCATCAATTCTAGCCAACGTAAGTAATGATAAGGGATTATATGAGTCTAAAATGGTTTCCCCTTGGAAATTGGATGACAGAAACCTTTCTTTTAGCTTTCTTGTGAGTTTTAGCTCCTTTTTTGCCCACTCTAATCTTTGTCTCCATTGGTCAGGTTCTTCCTTTCCACCAGTTATGTTTTCAGGTGTCTAGAACTTCGATAGTTTCAAATTCACACTGGAGGCCATGGCATCACGTTAACGTTTAACTTGGGTCTTGCTTCCACTACTTGAATATTGAAAGGGCATTTTGGCTTTCCAGACTGAGTGCCAGCATATGTTTCCTGGACTGCTTGTTTTCCGAAACAGGATATGGGTTTAGTTTAGGGACAATAACTCCTTAGGGACAATAGATAATAATTTCTTGTTTCTGCACCCAAAGTTTTGGGGAATGCAGAAGAGATGTTGCCTTCCTAGAGGGTTGCCATTTCAACTGCCAAGTACTGCCAGAATTGCTCATCTTAGTTCTGGGATTCTGGCTTCCCAAATCAGCCTAACTTTCCAATTAACTGGATTACATTCCTGGCATTGTATTCTCATTTGAATGTACCTGCCTGTGGGCTTTTTCTAATTTACCAGTGAGGAAACACGGGGTGGTACTTCCCCAAATCTCCTTCTTTTTTAATTCGAAAATGTAACCAACGTAAAAGCAACCATTTCTTCTAAAAGGTAGCGCATAAGACTGAACAGTAGGTGTTCCATTGGGACAAGTAAAAACTCCTCAGTCCCACCTTTTAGTTATAAAAGGTACTGTTATCCATTTCTAGGCACGTCATCTCTAATGATTGAAAAAACGAGTTTTCTCCTTCTTAAACAATTCATTATAAACTTGATGAAATTGCCCTGAGACTTTTTTTGGTATGAAGAGTACTAAATATTAATTCCTGTTAAATTCATAGAAACATGGCAAATCTAAATGTCTTTAACAGCATTTTGCTCAAATTTAACTCTTTAAGTGATTCCTCACAGATGTATCTATATGTTCGATTCTAATTACCTTTGGGGAAACATTATATCCATTAAAAGAAATGATTTGCTTCTGACTTAAATATAGGATGTATTCCTTTCAAAGATTTTCCTGTCAACGTCCCTTCACAAGCATACATTTCCTTCATTTTGGGGTACAGTGAGGGGAGAGTTTGGTTTTCCAATAATAAACCATTTTAGCAGAATTTTTCTTGCATATTAAGTTTAGAGACATCATATAGGAATGCTTGTGGCACAATAGGAAGATAAATGGACAAACCCTTACATTTATTTTTGTATAGAAGGTGGACTTTTAAACTTTTTGCAATACTAAAACTTACCTCATTACTGCACAGACTTAATGAATTAATATGAAGGAAGCTAATTAAAACATGAACTAGATTAAGATTCAAATGTAAATTCAAAGCTAGAGTTTGCTGTTTTAGAAGCACCTTTCCATTTAGCAAGGATCAAACCTGTTGCCATCTAAAACAACACTTCGTATATACTATTAAGAGTCTGAAACGGTCTCTTCCGAAATGGTTTGCCCCTTGCAATAAATTTGGCACGAGAAGGTCAGCAAATAAATCTCATAATGAACAGACAAATAAAAAAAATACTTGATCTAAGAAGAGGGACCAGAGTGTTTAAAGCAATTAATTGCCAATATTCAGCAAAATAATATATTGCTAAACTGTAAATAGAGATAGTTATCTCTTATAAAAGTAATGGCAGTTTTGCACTATTCGCTCTTTTACTTGTAAAGTCCAAAGAGAATTATGCTTCAGCAGAATATACTCCAATTAACACATCGTGAACAGAAAAACTCTCTTCCTGGGTCTGCATTTAGATAAGGACATTGAAGCATTAAAGTTACACCAGTATCATTGTGCTTCCTTGGCAGCATCAACTCAGTTCAGCTCACTTCTTCTATCTATATATTAGTCTCTTTGATAAGCAAAGAAAACTGGGACTTGAATCTAATAGGCAATGTAAAACATGTTCTAGACTTTTATGATGCATTTTTAAGCCAGACTGAGTAGATATCAGTTACTAAAGGGGTTCCCCCACATCTACCCACTCCAAAATCCTAGACAAACCTCTGTTTTAAACAAAAATGCTTTTAAAATCTATATTATGATGTTGATAACCATAAGCTTCTTGGTCTTCCTCCTTCTAGCACATCATAATCCAAAACAAGGATATACCCCCCCCCCACCTGTCAGAGGATATTTGGACAATGACAATTTACCTTGGTTGTTTGGAAGCTGACCGGAGAGTCATACCTGCAGAAGGTCACAAAATGTTCACAGTTGTTCCAGAGTAAGCTGTATTCAGTTGTGCCTACCAGCCTTTTTGCTCTCTGGACCACTTCGTCATTACCAAGGATCCCGTTTTTGAAAAAGGAATCCATCCTGTTCACCAGGATGGAGCCTCCATACGCAAAGTCCTCCACTGTGTCCACACGGATCCTTGCCATTTTTGTGATGACCCCCAAGATAAGTCTCTTATTAGTCACTACTTTCTGGATCAACTTCCGGTCATTCGTGAAAGCAGGCAGCATGTCCGGCATAAGATGCGCCACTTGGTTATCTCCCAGATAGATGCCAAAATGAATGAAAAGAGTGCGAGGCACCTCTAGCAAATCTCCTGGTCTGAAATAGGAAGAGTCATAACAGGAAATGTGGTTTTTTTCCTTCTCCTTCTCTCCACTGGGATTTGTCTGAAGAACTTTCAAGTTGGCGAGCAGAAGCAACTTTTCCAGCAACAGGAATGGTATTTCATACATTGGGTTTTTCATGTTGTTTTTTTCTTGCTGTGTGAGCTGCTCCTGATTAATTCTGGTTTGGTCTCTTTTTAGTATAGCAAGTTGGGCCATCCCACACACTGAGCCTGTTTTGATTGGTAGACAGGAAAATGGGCAGTTCCTGTGGAGCAAAATTAAGTGGTTCTTTATTTGAAAAGTTTTAGAACATGGAACATTGGATGATGGAGTTGGAAGGGACCTTGGGAGGCCTTCTAGCCCAACCCCCTGCTCAAGCAGGTGACCCTATACCATTTCAGACAAAGAGGTGTCCAGCCTCTTTCTGAAAGCCTCCAGTGACCCACAACTTCTGAAGGCAGGTTTTTCCATTGGTTGATTGCTCTCATCTGAGTTTTTATGGGAATCCTTATTATTTGTTGGTTATTTAACAACAAAATTACCTGCTTAAATCATTTTTTTTCCAAAATGAAAGTGCTAATTAAATGAATTATTTGATCATTGACAAAGATGTATGTCAGGCATGCCAAAATAGTAATAATAACTGCGCTTCGGATGCAAATGTTGCATTATGATTTATGAGCTCACCATCTGAAATCATTTGAGGAGAACATTTATAAACCTTGATAGAAAGCCAGTGCACATTTACTGGAGCGTAAGTATTTGGGGGGGTCATTGGGACTTACTTGCAAATAAACATATTAAAATAGCAATCAAGAATTATGATATAATGCATAAAATTTATTTTAGAGAAATCTCCTTGAAAGTGTATGTGGCTGATATTTATTCTGCACTGAGAACATTTAGGTCTGCAGTCTTAATTTTGGAAAAAAAAATACTAGTATTAGGCAAAATCATTACATGTAGGTGACATGAAAACTAGACATGTCTCTTTTCATGATATTCAATACCACCAGTTTTTACTATAAAACCAGAAATGGACTTGCTATAAATATATAATTAACGGCATGGATAACTTCCAATGCATACAATCTTCAAGTAGTTCTTAACAATAATATATCCATGGATTTGCTAGACTATAAGTATGAATCTTTCTATGCCATTGTGTAACTCCAGATTTTTTGCAATTGCTAACAAAATGTTCAAGGCGTATGTTAATGTGAATGGGTTGGGACTTGTTGTCTAAGAAGAAATCTTATCTGAAGCTTTCAGGGTGATATATGGGGAAAATCTGATATTTACCATCTTCCATTCATGGTAAAATCAGTGTTTCTTAAGTGGATGGCATCTTGATCTAATTATGCAAAAATCTTAAGTTTTGTCCCCCCCCCTCCAAAGAAAGCTCTACTGGATCAAGGAAAGCTTCTTCCCTCTGCCCCCAACCTGGCTCCCGTCTGAGCTTGATGGCAAGAGGATCCTTTCAGCTGCCCTGGGGGCTGGAAAGACTGGTGATGTGAGCCATTCATCTTACCTGGAAAACATCAAGGATTGAGGTTCGGGAAGAGAGGGTGACGCCACAGTGCACAGTCCCCTCATTCTCACAATCAGCCTGTGGCTTTTTTCTTAGATCGCTCCTGGCAGCCAGGCTGGCTTTGTTTAATTCGCCAAGTCTCCCAATTCAGTCTTTGGGTGTGGGGGGGAAGAGGGGGGAGAGAGAGAAAGAGAGAGAGAGAGAGAGAGAAAATAAAAGTCTTTCCCCCGAGAACCTGAAGGAAGAAGGGGGAAGGACAAAGGAAAGGGGCGGTGTCCTTTCCCCCCCATTCAAGTAGTTGGGGGAAGAGAGAGAGAGAGAGAGAGAGAGAGAGAGGGAGAGAGAGAGAGAGAGGCAGATTCTTTTTAAATTGTATGACATTTATTGTATTTACGTAACTTAAGACCTCTTTGAAACAACTTAAAGGAGAGCAGAATTAATCTGGCACCACTTTATCTTGTTTACAGATGAGCAAGCGAGATTTGGCTTCTGTGGGAGGAGTTCAACTTATCACGAATGATCTGTTCAAAGGCAATACGTTCCTTTTTAAGGGTTTCTCCCACTTTTGGATGGGTGGTCGAGCAGCCCAGTAACGTTCTTAATCCATGCTCGGCAAGGCAAGTCCTGGAACCTGCTAATATGCTGCCTTTAGTGATCAGTACTCCAGTTACGGCTGGAACTTGTTGAATTCCTGTTCTTCATCTTCCTTTCAGTATCTTATGTGGAACTAAATGAGAGGTGCTAGAGGCCATTTCTTGGCTTACATCAGGCTGCACTACTGGCAGAACTTTGACTGCAGCATGCACACACTGGCTATCTTTCTGCAGATAATTAATATTCAACTCCTTTGGTAAACTAATGCTGCTCCCGTCATGATGGCTCTTAGAGACATCTAATATCTGGCCATTGGGTGGGGGAAGGGAAAGAAGGAGAGAGGGAAAGGGTGGTGAAAGGTACAACACAATAGACCCAAGTAATCTCTGCAAATAATTCATTATCATTATCAAAGTCATATACTTTATCAAGGAGCACTTCTGTAGATTCCCTCGCAAGCAGAATGGCAGGCCCCTGCTTGCTATCAATTCCTGGCTATGATTCCTCGCTATGAAGAGACTGTGGGTGGTGCAGCCACCCAAACTGCAAGTACTACAAAACCACAGGAATTCATACCAGTTCCACTCCATACTCCCGTTGCGCTGTGCTACAATCACGGCCTGCTAAGCCCTTTCTATTCTATGCCACCAGACAATATAGCTGTTCTGCTCCCAAAAGTCTTTGCCAAGCCCACATCAAAGCATTCCCTTTGGATATTTTTCTAGGCCAAGTAAGAAGGCTTGTATCAAATTGCCCTGTGCTACTAAGTGGAGGAAGGAAGCCAGGATGGATCTCAGCCTTCCACCTTTTCCTTTTTCTCCTCAACTGAGCGAGGTTGCTGTTTCACGTGGAGACCATGATCTGATGCTTAGGACACTGAACAAGCAGGTCAGAATGCATGCATTTCACATCATGATGGATAGAGTCCGGGGAGTGGCACTCTTCACATCCATAAACCTGCTCCTTTCGCTTTCCAGCAGACATGAAGGACAATAAAGCCCAATTGCCATGGGGAAGATTCAAGATGCTCAACTCTCCTTCATTGCTACATAATTCCTTCATCGTGAGGAGTATAGAGAGCTGGTTTCAGCATTGATTTGGGCTAATTCTTCCATTTGTTGCTGAATTCTTAACAGAGAATGATGCTCTATTAAAGTCCATGGAGACCTAGTCAAACCAATGCCAATTCCTAAACAGCAAATGAGCATTATCCTCACTCATTGAACCAGATATACTATTTGTTCTGATACAGCAATAGAACTAGCACTCAGATTTATATACCGCTTTGTAGTGCTTTATAGCCTCTCAAAGCGATTTACAGAGTCAGCCTATTGCCCCCAACAATTTGGGTCCTCATTTTACCCACCTCAGAAGGATGGAAGGCTGAGTCAACCTTGAGCCTGGTGGGATTCAATCTGCCAAATTGCAGTAGGAGTAGCTTGAGGTACTGCTCTCTAACCACTGCACCGCCGAGACTGGTAATATATAACATAATAACACATAATATAACTTAAAGCGTTGGCAAAATATTTAGTTGGGCCCCAGCAGAAACTTCATGCAAATATGATTCAGGAATTAAAATATAAGGTAACCCTCTTTATTTATTTATTTTTAATCACAATGCTATATATATATATAGTTCTTCTATGTCATGCTTGCTGTCTCAGACTTCATGGAATCAGCAGTTATTTGAGCATTGTTTTCTTGCTTACAAATCCTCCTATTCCCAAGCCAATATTGCAACAGAGAATGTAATAGAGACAAGAGGAACAGGGAATGCTTCTACTTGGGAACAATATCACACCATGCACATTTTGTATTGGCATACTTCTTTGAGTCCATAGTACTGTGATTTGGTAGATGGGGTGGACGAAGCCATGCCCTGGTGACTCAGGCCAGTCTCATGGGTTGCCAGCAGACAGAATGTAGAAACCTCGTCTGGCAAGCGGAGAGTTTGACATTCCTTGTATGGGCAGATAAATCCCAATGATGAAACAATGATGATACTGTTGAATATTCAATGGGAAAAGTCAGTGATGTCAGACTTTCCCCATTGGTTCATTTTCCGGGCGGGAAAATGAACAGCTATCAGTGGCTGAAGTTTTGGACAGCGACCTGTAAAAAGAACAGCAGGGGCGCCGGGTGGCAGTCTTAAACAGAGCAGAATAAACAAGAATCTTTTTACCTCTCCACATTGTCCTGCCTCTTCGATCTAACCCATATCTAACACTGGTGATGAAGGTGGGATTCCAGAAGAGAACAAAGGAAATGTGGTGTAGATGGACATTTTTTTTACAGCAGAACACTTCTATCACTGTGCTGATCACCAGAATGTCCACCCACGCTCAACCAGAACCTTTTGATCCAATGAAGCATGACTGGGTCATGGACGCGAGACAATTTCAAATGTTTTTAGAAGCAAATTCATTGCACGATATAACAGAATTGAAGGAAGAGAGCTTTGTTCCTTGGATACTGTGGAAATCGCCTCTATAAAACAGCTTGAGCCATAGCTGCACCAAAAGACGTGGAGGCAATGGAATGGAAAGAACTACAAAAACCGTTAGAAGAACATTACACTCCCGCTGCATCCTTGCTGGCTCACTGACTTGATTTTACCGCAGAGAACAGAAACCAGGTGAGACCATAAATGATTTCACTACAAACTTGTGAGACATTGCTGCAGGCTGTGAGTTTGAAAACGTGGAAATAACACTAAGAGAGATAGAATTGTAGTTGGAATGAGGGACTTGAGGTTATAGAGGAAGTTAATAGCTAAGAAGAGCATCTCCTTAAAAGAAGTAATAGAGGAAGGCCGAGCGGCAGAAATCTCAGACAAACCGGCAACCACAAATGTGAAGTCTGGAAGCGTTCACTCAGCATTGGGAAGGACTGGTAAATATCAGGGAGAGAGGGGAAATAGAGAAAGTACTGAAGAGGAGGAAGAAGTACACAGAGTAAAACCAGATAGAAGATCAGGGCCCCAAGGGGTGAGCCTGAGACCACCGTGATGTGCAAGCTGTAAAGGAAACCACCCCAGGGCAGTTTGCAAATTCAGAGATGAAATCTGCCGCCGATGCAAGAAGAGAGGTCATATTGTTGAAGCATGCAGAACAAATCTGCCAGCCTACCCCAGTCAGAGACAATCGGGTTTCCCTAACCAACCACATGGTCCACAACAAAGGGGATTCCAGAGACCACCAAATTCAAACTATAGGCGGGAAGATAACAGAATGGAGAGGGACAGAGACTATGAGCAAACAGTAGTGGGGCATTCTGACACCCATAAATCAAATAAATTAAACAGTGATAATAGGAGACAAACTTTGTGATATGGAAATTGACTCTGGATCCTACATATCTATGGTGTCCTGGACAACTATAAAGAAAGCAATCCCAGGAATAACTCAACAACAGTGAAAACCACAATGTTTAACGCTAAAAGACTATCAAGGGAACCAAATTCCTATCTTAAAAAGAGGAGTTTTCCCAGTAAAATTCAGAAGCTTCATTGGTCAATTACCCTTAACTATCGTGGAAAAAGAACTACCTAGCCTACTCAGAATAGAGTGGGTTGGAGCCGTAGGAGCACCCCTCATTCGAACCCGGAGCTCTTCTCCTCAATTGATATGTTGGTGACACGGCATGGTGGCCCAGATGCTTGTCTCCTAGTTGGAAGGTTGGGAGTTCAATCCTAGGTAGTGGCAGATATTATTCTATTAGGGTACAAAAGAGAAAATATCCGCTGCTTCCTTGTGGTCACCAGGAAAGGCCTCCAGCCAGTAAAAGCTCAGCTACATCCAGTCAACCCAACTCCATCCTGAATAAAGGGATTAAAGCGTCATAAAAAGAAAAAAAAAGTGGTATGTTGGTGACTCTGGTAACCCTTAATGGACTTTTATTGGTCAGGATTGATTGATGAGGCTTTAAGAATTCGTTCATAGGTACAGGAAGATTATCCATTGTATTTTAAAAGAAGATGATAAGTTGCTAAAATTATTTATACTTGTAATGAAAAGAGAAATCATTTCTGTATATATTTCTTTATAGTCTTATTTTTTTTCTTTTCTATTTTTTTCTTTTTGGAACTTTTTATTGTTTGTATTAGTGATATCTTAGTTTGTATTAGTTTCTATCTCTTCAATAGTAAAGTTTAATTAAATGATTATTTTAAAAAAAGGAACCTCCAGAGTTTACAGGGACATTTGGTATGAATTGAGGTTGCAGCTAACATAGGTGGTTGATGAGCTGAAGAACACTGTGTGCTCTGGCTTTTGCATCAAGAATTTTGTGTGCTTGAAGGATACAAAATCTTGGTAAAAATAGAAGAAAAAACACTCCTCTGACAATATCTGTCCCAGGAACAGGATAATCTGTAAGGGAAAAGGGGCACATTTCTCTTAAGTAATCCGAGGGAAGATTATCCTGTAAAAGCACTTGAGCATGTGTCAGAATAGTTCTGTACTAAAAT